AAGGTGATAGCACCTATACAATGGCCTGCGCTCTACACTCCCAACGAGAATTTGCAGGTCACAGGAGTACACAGTAACATATTTAAAGTTCTTATGTCAGGTTAGTTACTCATTTCACAAAAACATAGTTAACATAATTATATTTAAAGATTTATTTCCACATGTCCAGCAGATATGAGGTAATTCCACTACTGTTACATAGCAACCATCATTTTAACAAGGCCCAAAACTTGTCTTATTTGCACAATAGTTATGAGTAGTCTGCGCTGTAGATTGTATAAAGAATTGGACTAAGAGAGTGACATCACCCACAAAGTCGGCTCTAGTCAAATGAACCTTACAATTCTCGTGGTTACAGGGGCGCATATAGGGTTAATACGAACATTTTAAGACCACAATGACGAGGCTCACAGCAGCAGCTACAGAGAGAGGGGTGAAAATATTCCAATGTAAGTCAATGGGAGCCAGGGTCAGAAGGGGCCGGAAGTGCCTCCATGCTAATTTTCACTTTGGCCTGCAGCAGCTAGCCCATTAGCTATGTTCATTTATGTATACAGTCTATGGTCTGCACGTAAACTGTCCTTGCACTTTGGATGGAATTCTGTGTATTGGCGATATAGGCAGAGGTATTTTCCTATTTTTGTGCTTCTCAACTTCTTCTCAACTTTTTTACGCAAACTGCTATTTAACTGATCTCTGATAAATATTTACCACAGGTACTATCCCACCAACCAGCGTAATAAATAGGAAAAGAAGGGTAAGATAGAAAGGTTTAATACCATACTGTGAAACATTCCAGCAATAATGTCTGCATGGAGAAAAGCATTTGATGGACCCTCCACCAGAAAAGTGACACAATGCACCTTTAAAGACACCACTGTTGAAAATTATTTATAGGACCCACTTGGAGCCCTGAGATTTAGTTTGCAGAGGAGCTGTGTAGAGAGGAGACACTGAGAATCAGGAATAGTCTAGTACTTCTATTATAAGCTTTAGCCTGGCCAACCTTTAGTATAAGATCCTCTCATAAAACCATTCATGCTCATACAATTAATTCACTTGGATCAAATCCTGTAGTGTACCTCTACTAATATTTATTACGTTACTATATTTTCCTGAGGTAAGACATCTGAACAGGGTATTTGATTGGTTTAAAATGTACATTTGTGCTCTTTTTTCCTTCTGACAAAAATCTTGTACCAAATTAAGCGCTGATAAGATCTCTCAGTCAGCTTTTATTGTGGCATTTTCTTCTCTTAGACCAGAAAGATTAATCAGTCACATAAAAAGAAATAACAACAGGCCATTTCAACCTGGAGAGACTCAAGACAGACACAAGGAGAAAAAAGTATTAGTAGTTTTATTGGATGAGTTGGCTTTGTCCAACTCATGCAGAAGACATTGTGATGAAGGGCGTGGACACTGGAGGTGGTAGAGGTGAGGCCGAGGAGAGTGAAGGGGACAATGAGATGATGAGAAGCTGGGAGGGTGCTGGGAAGAAGGTGGAGCATGGCACAAAACCAGTGGGGGTTTAAATTGGACAGGAGGAGGTGCAGCGAGCAGCAGGGAGGAGCACCGTATTTGGAGTGAGGCTAACACTAACATTTTTTAATTTTAACATCCTTAGTTGATGCACCGTTTAAGTTTCTAGTTACTCTCCACAGTCCATGTAGCCAGGCTGTCGCCACCTAGTGCCTCCACTCAATTTAATTTCTTTCAAGCGAATAGGTCAGGAATTGGAATACACTAGACGGCCAATCAGCGAAGAGCTGTGAAGCCATGTCTGGGTCCCTTTTGTGGTACAGCACAACAGTAAACAAAGTGATCGAGATGGATGTAGACGAAGCCGTACATTCTATGTTGACAACGATTCCCAAGATCGAGGCTTTAAAGCCGAGACAAAGAGAATGTTTGGTGAATTTTATCAAGGGGAAAGATGTTATTACTCTTTTTCCTACCGCATACATACATCACTACCAAATAGCAGCGATTGGTTAAATTAAAAAAGTACCCACCTATCGTAGAGCGAATGAATCCTAATGCTGCAGATGGTTTCCATGGAGTAAAACCGGCTGATAAATGAGGCTACAGTCCATACACCAGGTTTGCTCTTTAACATATATAACCCCAAATGCGTTTTCTTTGTCTGTGAGTATTTCATCACTCACTGAGAATTCTTTTATGAGTTAAAAAAAAAAAATCACTTATTTTCTCTGGTCTTTGATGTCCCGTGGCTTTATACATGTTTGACTATGTGCTTTGAATCACAGTCTGTACAGCCATGTTACAAACAGTGTGAGAGGAGCAGCTCAGCGGGGCTGCCTCGAAAGCTCCAGATGGTTTTCTAATATAGCCAGACAGTGCATTCATCTCCCCATCTTCAGCTTTTGTTTACTGTTTTATTTAGTGGAAATATTAGACAAGTTCAGAAGTAAGTTTGTTTAATTTGACTCACACAGTGCAAGCTAATGGTTGGCTCTTTCCACTATATGACGTCAGCTGTCTCCTCCATGCCTGCCAATACTCATCCATGCTCATAAAAAGACAATGACTCAGCTTCAATTTTTCTATTATTCGCGCCGTCTCTGCTAGCCAGATCAATAACAGTATCAGTTCTGTCAAATTCCTGGAGCGCTATCACTCGAAAGGTGATCTCATCCACTATAAAAACTGTTACACTTTATAGAAGCAATGAAACCACCAGCCTTCAACCATGTATTAACTGTTCAGCTGCTGTTCAGTCTCTCAGTCGTTCGATATGCTGGTCGATCTGGCTTGGTCCAAATTATTCTCTTTTACCAGTAGTGGATTCCTTTAAAAGAACGTCTGTCATGTGTAAAAATCAACTTTAAGTGATTTCTATAATGCTTTTAAAACTTTATAAAAAATGTGTTTGTGTACGTGTACAGTACCTCTTAATATACAGTTCGATTTAAAACTTCCAACTCTTACATTTTTTTAATCTATAGAGATAGATTTATACGGGTCTTTTCATTTTTATTTCTTTTTAAATATTTATTCATTCACTTCCTTTGTTTACAGTGTAAGGATTTAGATCAGAACTCAAGGCGAACTTTTGCTTCCAAGATAATCTTATAGAGCGAGCGGATTGAATGTCACAGTTTGGGGCTTCAATTCCAGCTCCCACAGATGAGTGCTGTTGTTGTGTGGTTGGGCAAGACACTTCACCCACCTCGCCCCTAGTGTCTGAGTACACTATTGTATGATCATGTGTGTTAATGGGCGAGTGGTTTCTTAATGAAAAGCGTTTTGAGTGCCTTGAAAGTGGAAAAGCGAAAGGAAAAAAATATATATAATTTACCAAAAAGTCTATAGAGATACAAAAACAATGTAAAAAGTAAAACATCTCAATAAGATACTGGCTCACTCGCGGCAAATACATGTATCACACTATAAAATACTTTAGAATGAGAGCTAAGTTTAGTCATTTCCACTGGTTTAACATTAGGCAAACTGAAAATTCACCATTATGTTTCATGCAATTTTTTTACACCAACATGAAGACCTACCTCAAAATCATCTGGATTAGTGTACTTTTTTGGATTTCTTTTGTCATTTAGTTGATTAAACTGGCAGTGGTCTCTTATTTGAACGTTTTTCCACGTTCTTTTTTTCTGCATAAATAGTTATTTTTGCATGAACTTCCGTGCAGATGTAGTCTTGTGAGTGCAGTTTGAGTCTGATATATAGAGACACATAATTGTTTTAAGAGCTTTTGCCAGGCTTTCTTTTTTTGTCAACTAATTGATTGGCAGGGCATAATCGATCGGCAGGGCATGTCTTTAGTAAACTACAACTCTAGTATTTTTCCAGTAATTTATATAAAATTAAAACTGACCCCAAAACTTAAGCATTTCAACTTGAATACCCATCCCCTCATTATTAAACCATGCTTGCATTAATATTACATGTCAACCTTGTCACATGTCCAAGCTGTTTCCTTTGACTTTTCAACAAAGACGGGTTGTATGTAAGGCTCTATTAAATGTTGCATCACTGCAGCTTTATCTATGGGCCAGAGCAGATCCACGCTGACACTGACATGGGTTTCCTCTTCTCCCCACTCTGCTTGTCTTTTTGAGTTACAGTGACAAAATGCCCCAGGCCCTCCTTCATGTGCTATTTGCCCAGCATTTTTGGCTTGAATCGTACCACAGACGCAATGCCCTCTTTGGATAAATCATTAGAAATACATTGAAATTGATTTGTCACTTTTATTTTTTATAGCAACTTCGCGGTCCCCAACAGTTCAAACTAAACATGCTTGGCTTTAAAGGTCCTGTATTACGCAAAACTGGCTCATGTGAGATTTTACCCATGTTACCATGTTGTATCCTTCTCAAAAACATACCTGAAGTTGGGTTTTGCTTCATTCTCGCATGTTTGAGTAACCTCCAAAGCTCAAAACGTGAAGGTGTATGGAGTTTAAAAACACAGTGGAACACAGACATGAAAGAAGAACTCAACCTAAATGTGCAGAATTTGTGTGTTAAACATGTGAATGAAACAAAACACAACTCATGTTATGTTTATGATGAAGACACATTATATAACAGATCAGAAAATAGCGGAATATGAGCCCTTTAATATTTTAGTTACATATATCCAAGGATACATTCTTTGTCTGCTTTATTTTCGACAGCCTTACCACAAGTGCATGGCGATTCAATCAAAGAAGCGTGAATGTTGGCATTATGTTTTCAAGGTGTTTGAATAGCGTAAAATGCGTGTAATGGAAAGCTTTGTGTTTCTTTACTTTAGAAAATGTGTTTGCTCGTGCTCAAATTACAAAGATGCTTAAAAGTATGAGTTATGTCTACAAAAAGGATATGGTGTATTTTTAAATGTTATTGTTCTGTTGTTTTGATGTTTCTATAAAAATATGGTCTATAAAAGGATTCATTTAAAATGCAGTTTGACTGAAGATTCTGACAGGTCTTTTTGGCACTTGATTTAAATGCTTTTCTTGTTTTTTACAGACCAGTGCACTGTGACCAGATCTTATCTCTTCCTGCACAAGTTTTGGTTCTTCAGCACTATCTACTACTTTGGCAACTGGGCCTTCATTGTTGTAAGTTGTCTTTGTACAAATCATTAAGATGCATTGTGTAACTTTTCCGTCACTTGCTTCTTTCTATGGATAGGTCATTGCTCTGGCTGGAAAGTTCCACAGTGTGACATTAAACAGCTCTACCTTACAAATGTTAAATTACAGGTGGTTTTATAGCTCAAAAACTAATAGAAAAACTGGCATTCTGACTGTGAGCGGTGGGTCTGGTTTGGTCTACATGAAGCAAGAAGATAGAAAGGTTTAATACCATGTGAAACATTCCAGACAAAGCAATCTCCATGGAAAAATGCATATGACGAACTCTCCACCAGAAAAGTTATAAAATGCACCTTTAACTAGTAAAAAATAAGAAACATCTCAAAGATATCAGAACATACTAAATGAAATGGTTTTGTAACAGCCATAAAAACCTCTAAATAACACTCTTAACAACGACTAACTTGCAACAAAAAGTGCAGTCCCTTTTTCCACACTAAAGTTTAAGTCTAAAATATAAATTTGCCCAGTCTCACATGGTTACAGATAAAGTAGGGCTGTGAAATGAATCAAACTTTCTATCTTTTCTTATCATCAATGATCAGCTTGAATTTTTCTTTTCAATCAAGAGGTCCACAACCTAAACTCTGCTAGTAAAAACATTTGGTTTGGAGATGTGTTCATAAGATTAATATTAAAACAAAAGTAAAGATCATCATCTATCAAAATGAGGGAAAAAGCATGATTTCTTTTTTTTACCCAGCCCTAAGATGAAGTAGCATCTTAAAGGTGTACTGTGTCACTTTTCTGGTGGAGGGTCCATCAAATGCTTTTTTCCATGGAGATGTTATTGTATTGTCAAGAATGTTTCGCAGTGTGGTCTTAAACCTTTCTGTCTTCACATAGACCAAACCAGAACAAGTTACAGGTCAGATCTCTGAAGAGGCAACCCCGCTCATAGTCAGAATGCCGGTTTTTCTAAGTATTTTGAGCAGTAAAACCACCTGAACCAACTGAATGGTAGAAAGGCTGAAAGGTAGAGCTGTTTAATGCCATACTGTCTCCATAGAATCTCCATAGAAACAAGCAAGTGACTGATCCCCAACCAAAAAGTTACATAGTGCCCCTTTAGTAAAATATATTATGGTTAACTTATTTTTTTTGAATAGTCAACTGTATGTTTAAATCTACAATGTTTTAACGATGAAAATAAACTGTTCTCTTTTGTACGTTTGCATTAACCAAGCTAATATTGAAAACTTTTTCCTTGTTTCCCCCCTAGACCTTCCTGATCGGCCTGGTGGTCTCCTGCTGTAAAGGGAAAAAGTCTGTGATAGAAGGTGAGGTGGAGGCAGATGACTCAGACTTAAGTGATGACGAATATATCCACTAAAGAGAAGAAAAGGGCTCCCAGACTCTTCTGTGAACTCTGCTCGTCATCGTTTAGTCTTAAGAAGCCACTCATTTTTTAAAAGTTTCCTGTCTTCTGAGTTGGAGTGGAAATGCCCCTCACCTTTAAGAACCTAGCAGACTGATTGTTTTGTCTTTCAGTCAATATTACAGATGAAAGTGGGATTCAGGGAGTTTGGTTCATTTCAGCCCAACCATGAGAATTCACTTCCAACAGCTTTGATTCTGACAAGTTAATATTGTTTTTCACACTAAAATGCCTATTGCAGCAGACTGGGTGTTTCTGAATTTTATTTTTGAACTTCATACCAAGTTTAGGTGACATTTTAAACGCACTTTTGAATTGTTGGTACTGGTACATACATTTTCCTTTATTTTCTTTGATGATTTCCAAGTGTAAAATATTGATACCAAAGTGTTGACAGCACTGACAGTTTTCTGTTTATTTGCATTTGAGCTTGTTATTGTGTTGCATTTCTACAAGTTACTCAGTGGATCTTAGAATAAACAGCTAGGACCAACTATGACACTTTCAATTTACCGTATTTCACTGAATTTTGAGTGGATTGATTTATTGCTCTTACGTAAATGTAACAAAGTAATTCAAGTGGGATTTCATGTTTAAGAAGTTGCCAGTCATAATTATTGCTGTAACCTGTGTATATACAAAGTGAAAACAAAATGTACCTAATGAATGTCAATGCAACATGATGGGCACAAACTGACTGTGAATCAATTTGACCAACCAACTCTAGTTAACATTGTATATATTAAAAAAAATACAGTTGTAATTATTGAAACTGCTACTGAGATTTGCATCCTTTGTGGATAAATGAGACATTTATGCATGAAGCATTTCCAAAAAATAAAACCAATTTGTAAGTACTACTAGTTATTGCTTTTTCTGTGCACCGTGCCAACCCACATTCCTGTAACTTTTGTGAAGAACAGTTAGGAGAGAACTAACTATTTCTAAATGCAAAATGAAAAACTAATTCAATATTCTATTATTTGGGATGGTACAAGATATTTTACCACAAGATTGTGCACATGAGAAAAATAATTGAGATTTTTATTTTATTTTTTTTGCATTTTTTGGATCGGACAAAAATGTCACATGTTGGTGAGTTACATCTCTTACAGTTCCAAAAAGCATTACTAGAAATGTAAATAAAAATTGTGAGGCCAAAATTGGAAACTTAATCATGAAATTTATACTGTATATTAGGAATAATGTTAAAATCTCATCTTGTCTTATTCTCATGGGTCCAATCTCGTCTCGTTGAAATTTTGACTCATCCCATCCCTATTGATTATATATTTGACTCGATATTACAGGATTTTAGTCCATATTTACTAGTATTTTTGCTTCACTGAAAAAGTCAGTGGCTGAATTTCTTTCCTTTCAGTGTCATCTTTAAAATTGATTTGACCATTGTATCTACATGAAATAAACCCTCTCATATTATTCAGGGCCCAGTAGTTTACAGCAGTGTTTCTAATATAACAGCTTGCGGAGTGATGAGAGTATGTATCAAATGAAGCCGACAGTAAAACGTGGATTAGCATAGAGGCGCTGACGGCTCGCTGTGGATGGATTTGCATAAAACTCTGCGCTTGTCCAATTAAGAGCCTGTAGCGTGTATACCTTGTCATAACTACTCTGCAGACCTGTTCTGAGTTAAGCCATTATGTGATATGCCACCCCCACATGCACTAATAAACCAAATTAACTTTAAGCCAGAGAGGCGCATCAGGCCAGAGCTGGAGGGAGGGCTGGGTTACATCAGCTTTAAAGCTACAGTAGTCTGGTACAGGTACTGGCCTGCAGACACCTTCAAATGTTATGTCATCACAACGTTCAAAATTACAAAACAGAGATCAGCCACTGAAAGCAAATGTAAAACAGCTTTATACAAACACTGGTTAACTTATTTCAGATCTAGTAGTGTCTGGAACAGGGATCTCCAACCTTTTTCCTCTAGTGAGCTACCTTTACAAAATAAAAATGCCAGAGAGCTAATGATTTTAGTGGCCGCAAGAAACTGAGATGATTGTGAGAAAGAGGGCAAGCCTTTGGGTACAGTTAAATGCCCATAAAACAGGGGTCTCGAACATTTTTTCTTGAGTGAGCTACCTTTAGAAAACAAAAATTCCATAGAGCTACTCATTTTAGTGATCACAAGAAATAAAGTATACATAAGAGACATAGCAAAACTTACATAGGGTACAGGTAGATAAAACAACATAAACCATTATTTATTTATGAGTACACAAAGTCAGGCATCAAAATGATAGATTTACAATAATAATAGGTATTTAATTCATCAAGTTTTAGTTATTCAGAACAATACATGTAATTCAGAAATCCTTTAGCGAGCTACTTGAAAGAGGGTGGAGAGATTCTGGTAAATCCTGAGCTATAGGTTGGACACCTCTGATCTAGAAGTATCTATAACAATAATTTTGAGTTTCCAGTGTAGATATATCAGTTTGCTTCTCTTTTCCTAGGGATGGAAAAATGCTGTTTCAACCTCAAAATTTTATTTCACAAAGTAGCACAAATTTGTGATACTGAAAGGTTAACATAACTATAGCTATTGTCCAATAACACTTACAGTTAGTCCAAAATTCTGCAGCACGTCTTTTAACCGGCACACATCATAGAGAACACATAACACCTATTTCATCCTCATTGCACTGGCTCCCCATTCATTTTAGAGTTGATTTTAAAATTGTATTGTATTTTTTTAAAGCACTTCATAGACTGGCCCCAATGTACATTTCAGACCTTATTGTCCCCTACACTCCTTCACACGCTGAGGTCTGAGGGCCAGCTTCAACTTGTAGTCCCAAAAACGAGACTCAAATGCCAGGGTGACGGGGCCTTTTCTGTGGTTGGCCCAAACTTTGGAACGCTCTCTCACCTCACATTAAGACCGCGCCTTCAGTTGATTCTATTAAGTCTCATTTAAAAACATTCTCTTACTCACTGGCTTTTAACATGTCTTTTATTGATTTTATTTGCTATTTTTCTATTTGCTAATTTTTGTATTTTTATGTTTTTTTAATTGACTTGCTAATTTATTCAGTTTATACTTTATTTGATTTAATGTGATCATTTATATTGTGCCTACTCTGTGCAGCACTTTTAGACTTTGTGTTGGTAAAAAAAAATGGATTGGATTGGAATAAAACCTAAACATTACAATTTTGCCTTTATCAAAAAAGCTGTATAATAATAACCACCTATCAAGAAAACAATTCATCTAAAATTTATTTGTTAATGTTAATCTCTGGTTTCTTCATTGAAAGTGCATTATGTCCCACACTTGTCTTCAATTGTGTCCATTCTGGAGGGCATGTATAAACTTATAAATGCTTTTAAAGGGTGTTCCAGTTGTGTACAGGTCTAACACAGGCTTCTGTATGTCTGGTTTAGTTGTACTTTTTAGACCTATGTTATGCACATGTAAGTTTACCCTGCAGTCTCCAGTACATTCTTGGTTCCTCTCATAAATAGTCAACATTTACAAACAAAAGAGGGATTATCCTGCATAAATTACTGAATTAGCACAATTCAAAACACTGTCTCATAGTGGGATCCATCCAAAGGCTATTTTCAGTATGTGTCACAAAGCTTGAGATGTGTGCTATTTTATTCACCTTGGGGATTTTACAAAAAGACTGCTCATTTCCAACTACCAATAATTTCAGGAAAGGTTGGCGTGATTTAAGCCATCTTAGTTTGGGTTTGGAATGAACAAGGGAAGAAATCCATTGTGCCCATCTAAAATATTATCTTTATGGAAATGTCACAGTGGTACATGGTGTCTTGATTCATAGAGATATATTGTTTAAACAGCTAACATGTTTGTTTACTGTGATGGCAAAACCCCGATCTAGTCTCTGAAAGTTGTAAAAACACTTACAAACTCATTATGGTGAATAAATAGGCTGCTCGTGATGGATACAGTTTAATAATAATAATAATAATAATTTAAAAAACAGTTCTGTTTTTCACATTTTTAAGGCAATATAAAATCAGGTATAATGCCTTTAAAGACATGGAAAGTAACTAATAACTGTTTAATTTGTGCATTTTTGACCTCATTAGAAAGTGTTAGCATTCATAATAGCATTTACATTTCCTCACTAAGAACAATGTTACGCACTTCTGTTATAATGAACCCCACAAGTATCTAATTAAATGTAAGGTGATACATAGGAGCCTTTTGCTTTTTCAATTTTCGCCAGAGCATTACATTGCATTTGTTCTTAGAGGCACTTCAACATTATTCTTCAGCATTACACAGCATCGTTGAAAGCTTTATTAAAGGACCTCTATTCCACTGAAAATGAAAGAGCCTGAGCCTGGAGCCGTGATTGCATGGTGCACAGTGGATACTCATATCAGTGCAGCCTTGTGGTGGTCCCTCTCCCTCTCCACCATCATATACGCTGTAATGAATTTTTCAGCTCAAGGTAAGAAACAACTAGGATTTTCAAGCCTGTTGGTCTCCTCTCAGGTTTTCTCCCCTTTTCCAGAGCAACAGTCCTTTAAACTAGTGCAACACCTTCACCACTGGGGACTTGGCTCTGCACCTTTCAGAGATGGCCATAAATATCCAAGGGTGTATTTGGAAGTTTGGAGCATGCTTCTAGTATTTTGAGCTGCTCCTGCTACTCATGCTGCTCTTTTTTGAGGTTATTTTTGGTTATTTTTTTAGGTGCCCTGTAGAGCCTCTCCAGGCTCCACAACTCTTGACAGAAAGAAGTGTGATAGACAAACATTTCGCTGTACCCCCTGGAGTGGCCTCTAGGGGGTGGAATGACGAATGATCAGTGTGATTATGTTGATTTCAGCGCAGGGCCCCTCATCAGGTTCACCTCTCCTCACTCACTGAAGACCTGTGTCCTAAATCAGATTTTGGACAAGGCTTACAGGTCTTGTCCTTTTCTAGCTGTAGGATTGTTTACTTAACATGGCAGCTTGGCCTCTTCATAATACAGTTATAGTAAGAACATTTCAAAACTCCAACTAATCTGTTAGTAATCAAAAATGTGATGTGAATCTGATAAAGCAAGAACATTTTTTTTTTTTTGGGGGGGCTAAATTCACAAAATAAATAAGTACAAAATGTTTTGGGATATTATATATGAAACACAGAAGCACATATTTAAAGTCATTGCTCCTATTTCCATTCCTGGGAATGACACGTGGGCATACTGTACTGCTCAGTGCTACTAACCAAATATCAAGGAATTTTTGAATAGTATACCAATAAAAATATGTGAAAAACAATGTCCCTGATATGGCACTAATATTGCCAATCCCTAAAAATAACACTGGTAGAGAATAATTCTTAAATGTCATAATGGAGCTTTGTTGCATTACTCAGATGATTAAGTAGGCCTGTTGTATAATGTAAATGTAAAGGCTGTGGTTTAGTTACATAAGATACTGTCACAGTTTACACTTCGAAGTCAAATTTCAACTTTCTTCAAGTCTTGAGGCCATTTGGTTTTGCCTGTTTGTCATGCTCCATCAACAGTGAATCAGCAGACAGTGACTTCATTCAGACACAACACTGTGATAATAACATAGGCTGAGAGTCTCATTTAAATACCATAAGGTCGTATAGGCCAATGATGTCTGCTGCTGGAGGGACCTGTCTGTCTAAATCTCACTCCAAATAAATTGAATATGCGCAAAAAAGAAAAGTCTGGAAGTCATGAATTTAATGAACAAGTTCTTTTTGCTGTTAAGAAATAAACATGTTCAAGGGCAAGGGCAAGGATGACAGCAAATATCATATGAAACTTTTGAGTTCTTCCAGCACCAAACGTCAATTAGTTTGGATGATATAACTTTCTTTGTGCAA